AATCATTGAGATGAACCTTAAATCAATCAAGCACATCTAGGTCATTTCTGACAATTAGAAAGTCATCAATATATACCAATATATGCAAGATGGTAGAACTCTTTTGTAAGAGAATAATGAGGAGTCCTCTTTGCTTTGTCGAAACCCAAACTGCAAAAGATGTGGAGAGTATAGCAAACCAACAATACAGAGCTTGCTAGATTTCATACAAATATTTACTGAGACTACATACCTTAGTAGGATCAGTTGATTTAAAACCCAGAGAATTATGATTGTCCTTTTGGTGAACCTCCTAAGATTTCACAACTGCTACACTGAGAAGATATTGGAAGGTAGATATCTTAGCAACTGAAGCGAAAGTTTTTTTTGTGTAATATGTTTTTTTCTTTCTTTCCACAAACCACCAAACGAGCTTTGTGATGCTCAAGTATTTCATCAGAGTTAAACTTCAATTTGTAAACCCACTTTTTTTAATAGATTTCTTTCTGGGAGATAAATTAATTAAGTGCCACATATGATTAAACCTCAAGAGCCTTAATCTTGAGTCAAATTGATTCACACCATTCTTTGATAAGTGTTGCCTCTTTGAAATGCATTGGTTATGTGTTCTCAAGGACAACCGTTACAAAAATAATGTGATTTACTGAAAAACCAGAATTAGACAAGTATTTTGCTATGGGATATAAAGTCTTACAAGAAGCCTTAGACAAGGAGTTTGAATTAGAGAACATGTGGAAAAGCTTGAGTAAAGGAAGAGTGTATGTGAGAAGTGACATAATCCTTTAACATAACTAAGGGTTTCTTAGAATAATGTCTACGATCCCATTGGTCTGTTGAAACAACATTATGTGATTCAGAAAATTCTGCAGCAACCTGAGGAGTTGCAGTTGTGATAGCATTATCATCCACCTGAACGGGTTCGACGGTGTGGATTCCGTCTAATGTATATCAGGAGAGACCTCAACAAGCTCATTAGAGAAATATCACCCATTGGTGTAGGTGTCCAATCTGCGTCGACCTGCTCAATTGATGCTTGTGGTGATGACAAAACGTCATGTGAAAAGTTCATGAAAGAGAATACGTCTTCTTGAAAATGCACATCCTGATTAACAAAGAATTTTTCTATTCCAATGTCGTGGAGTCGGCTTACGTTTTTACCGTACGTGTATCCTACAAAGATACACATTATGATACAAATGCCAAATTTGTCCTTGTCTCATGACTGAAGGTGATTGTAGCACAAACAGCCAAAAGTGTGTTAATATCATACTTGTTCGAGTGCCAAAGAGTAACTCATAGGGCGTCTTTCCTTTCAGAATAGAAGTTGACATGCGATTTATCAAATGAGTGGCTGTGAGAATGCATTCACCCCAAAATTTAATAGGTAGATGATTCTGGAAGAGGTACGTGCTAGCTACATTGAGTATGAGTCTGTGTTTTTGTTCAACGAGGCCATTTTTATTAAAGAGTAACAACACAAGATGTCTGATGAAAAATTTTGTGCTCTAGAAAAAAGGATGTAAGGCACGTAAATTCAGTGCCGTTTTCACTTCCAAATGATTGTATTGCGCAGAAATTTTGAATAAGACTAGAGACTTACGTTTTTGCAGACATAAGGTGTGTCCACACTATTCTAGAGTAGTCATTAAACAATGTGAAAAATTATACCGCACTTCAAGTTAAAGGGATTCAATAGGGTCTCCAAGCATCTGCATGAACAAGAGAAAAGCAATCTGAAGCTTTATTAATACTATAATTAAAAACATCTTTCTTTAGTACAAAAAACAATATCACAATTCTTTATCTCTTGAAAAGTATTAAAGGATTGATTACATTCAGGTAAAGAAATTAAAAGACCAGTAGACGGATATCGTAGTTTACGGTGCCACATTTCTTCAGAAGATATGACTCTATTTGAAACCTTTTGTACACAAGAAGCTAAAACCCTAGTCAAATAGTACACTCTCTCACGCTCTTCACCCGCTGTAAGAACAACAAATATCCGTAAATATGGCTACACAACCAGTTTGTTTCAACAACTTTGTAACAGAGATCAACGGGTACTCAAATTCAGGAACAAACACCGCATCATCAAGCAATATTTAAAGCTTAGTGGCAATAAACCTCTCTTCTTAGCTCGAGAGGCATTCCCATCCAAGAATTTGTCTGGCAAAGAGACGATATAAACCACGTTCAAAATATAGACAAGTCTTCTATTATGTGATGAGAAGCACATGTGTCAATTACCACATCAGTAAGATTAGTTTTATCCGAGAATGTTTCAGAGAAGGCCTTTGGTTTTTGAGTTTGGGGACCTATATGAGTTGAGAAATATGATCATTTCCACTGTAATTGGAAGAGCGATCCCTATTGACTCTGCCTGTTCCACGTCCTGTACCCCCACGTTCCTCCTCCACCTCTCTGAACATGTTTGTTGGATGGGTTAGTAGATCGACTTCCTCGAGCTGCAGACGGATTCTTCTCATAGTACCACTTATGATCCGTGAAGCTGAAACACTCATGATATCTGTAAAGCAAGAAAAAATCTGTTATCTCATGTCCATATCGACAAAAATGAGTGAAAAAGAGAGCAGAGTTGTCGCAGAATCGCTGGCCAGATGCTGCAGCGACCTGGGGAGTTGAATCTATTTTAACAGAGAAACCGATTTCCTCTGTTTGTTTTGCGGCATCTCGTGTTTCAATATTCGTGTTTTAGTCTTATTTCATAATGTGTGAGTAAACCTGATTCAAAGGAGAGATTGGTTCAATGATCATTGACCAAATGTTTCCAAGTTGAGGAAGATCAAGTCCGAAGAGGAATTTATGAACTCGATCATCTTTGTGTTCCTTCAATATGTCTAATGTGGCTTCACATCGAGACACCTTAGCACTAATGTAGTTCTGGAGTTCCTCCCAAAGCTCTGTCAAACGTTCTTTATACTCGAGATCATGTTGATATTTTTGCTTGCATAAAACGATTTCCTCTTTCAAAACTTGCTTTTGTACTCTGTTGCCTAGCGAGAAGAGGACAAAGACCTTCCTGTAGAGCTGCAGATACAGATTTAGAAGCCACAATTGAGAAAATTTTATGATCTATGGATGTCCGCATCCATCCAATGGTGACTGAGTTTGCTGTGAGCCACAAACTCAGATCAGGTCCAGCTGCTGGTTTAGTAAGGTTCCATCGATGAACCCAAAGTTTCTATATTTTCTAAAGTCAATTTCTCAATTAAGGTGATCACTCCCTGGTTATCTTATTTCAATATGACGGATGAAATTAAGACCTCGGAATTAATAGAAGGGTGTAACAGTAACAGCGAATTCGGTGTAACGGTGGGGATAGTTCCAGGAGTACGCGACACTGTTACGTTTAAATAGAAGTTATAGATCAAACAGGAATAGACAGTGGCTTGTACAGCTGCGGTGCTCTTCAATGTCGATAGAAGTGGCTCTAAGGCGACAGCAGCTGTAGTTGAATATTTTAGTTCAAATGATTTTATGCTCTGATACAAAAAAGTAAAGTATATTTGGTTGTTTTCATTCATCAATTTACATTGATACCTATACACTTTAGTGTTTCCTAATCTGATAAGAATATTATCCAAAATATATCATGGAGATATTATTAACATATATCTTGATGCCCAATATTTTGGCTGGTTAGACAATAAAAGTTTCTCACATGTTCAAAAAAGACTTTGCATTTTATAACCAAATATGTTCAGTGTGGGTACCAAAATTCGCACTGTCAATTTCTGTTGAATTAGGAACGTAGGTTAAACCCTAGTTCTCAGTGGTTTATTTGTTAAACGAAACGCTAAGCAATCAGGAACAAGAAGTAAAAAAGACAATAATATGAATACGAATTAAAAAGAGACAAAAATAAGTCTTATTCCGATTTTGTGTATGAGCGCTACAACGAGCTAGGAGCCTTGGCTACAAGAGCTGACAGTGAGTTCCTAGTTCTAGTAACCTAAGACTGTGTAAACCCTAATTGAGACGCAACTCGAATAACAAAAACATAAAATTTCCTAAATGTCCTAAGTTCTAAAGTTTGCTCTCTCTTGTTTCTCTCTCCTTGATCTCCTTATATACTCCCTCCAAAGCTGGTTTACGCTTTTCAATTCTGCCCTTAAGCCGTCATAGCCCAAAAATGGGATTTCCCATTTTTCTCGATCTTCACGATTATCTTCGGAATTTTTACGTTTATTCGCGAAACTTGACATTTATCTTCTCTTGCAGGCCAAGGATAAAACTCGATAGGACATATGGTCTTTTTAATAAAAACCATAAGTGGGCTTTTAGTCGCGTTGTAGGCCTCTTTGGGCCGTATTTCGACTTAAAACGTTTTTACGATTTCTTTTCGATAAAAAAGCTTTCCGCGGTTTTTATCGTAAAGTCTGAACGATAACTCCGATCGATAAGGAAAGAGTGGTAGTTCAATTGTGGCCTTTGGGAGATTTCATCAAAGAGTTGACGAGAATGTATGGATTCGTGTTTACGTCGATCTTTAGGATAGTCCGATCGCTTCGTAGGGACCGAGCTTGGATCGAGCTCGATTGTTACGTAGCGATTCAATCTTTTTTCGGATTGGGTTGCTATGTAAAGACCTGGTTCTTACGTGTGTAATTAGGATGTTTCGTCCACTTTTAGGCTTTTTTCGGATGCTTGGATGTTAACTTCTTCGTGACCGTTTTTGACCCCAATAGTTAGCCCCCAGCCCGTTAGAATTGTAGATTTCTGAGGAGATTCTAGCGTGCAGTTTGGACAAGCTTGGGCAAGATTGGTGAGTTTGGAAGAAGTTAAGCATCTGAAAGTCTATAGACAAAAGTAACTTATTATGCCTATAAGTATATGGAGTAAATTCTCATCTTTCCCACTTGCTCATAAGAGAAAATTTCTAGTGAGATAGAAGTTGAAAATAAATTTCCTTCTCTCTTTTCTGTTTTTTTAACAGAACTTCTCAAAGTAGGAAATCTATCTTTCTACTATTCTGCTTCATGTCTCGAAGGATTTCGGATGACACCTTGCCTTCCATTTTTAACCGCGAAAATGTCCGTAATTTTCGTGGTGAGAACATTCCGGAAGGTGAATTTGTGGCGGATCCAGTTGATGCGATTCAGGCTGAGGAGTACTGGATTCCTATGTGTACCAGGAGGATCCCTCACCTCGAACCATGGATCCCTACGAGACCTACTGCCAAAAGGACCAGGGGAAGGCCAAGTCGATGTACCTTCCCATTCCTTGATACCGTGCGGAGGTTCTGTCATGTTTTGATGAATGTGGAGTTCTGGCTGCCTTGCCAAGGAGAGAGAGCTGATGATCCCCGAATGGTTTTTTACTTTGTACGAAGCCCATCTAATGCGCAGTGGCCTATGGTTTCCCATTCCGCATGTTATAGTGGAGTTTCTGAACCGTGTCGGTGTTTTGATAAGCCAGATTTCTCCACATGGCATAAAACATCTAGTAAGATTACTAGTTTCGGGGTACGAGCGCGGAATGGAACTTACTGTCGACTATCTCGAAGGTTTCCTTACTTTATCCTGAATTGGAGGCAACCTTGCGTACGGTTTCAGGTCGCGCTCTTATATGGATGTTTTGAAAGGGTTTCCTCTGGAAGGTCCGGGCTGGTTGGGCTATTTCTTTTATGTTCAGTTTGTCCGGAATGGAACTTACTATCGACTATCTCGAAGGTTTCCTTACTTTATCCTGAATTGGAGGCAACCTTGCGTACGGTTTCAGGTCGCGCTCTTATATGGATGTTTTGAAAGGGTTTCCTCCGAAGGTCCGGGCTGGTTGGGCTATTTCTTTTATGTTCAGTTGGACCGGCCTTCGGTTGCTGCGTCGTGTCTCCCTTTGTTTAGGCGGTTGTGGGGAATATGAGGTAACGTGACGAGATTTATTTTATGGTTTTGCTTTTTTCTACACCGTGTTGTTATTGCAGTTTTCAATCCTATTCCTCCGTTACCTGAAGACTTGATTGTTGTCTGAAACCTTATCCGTTACGGATTTTTGGAGTCACTTTTCTCTCAAGAGGGTTCATGCAGCAGTGGAGATCCATCAATCGCGAATTGATCCATCCGTCATAGATGCGTGGAGGCGATTCACAATAGATCTGCCGTACTAATTGTCCTGGTGTTCGGGCCAAACAATGGTAGGAGGTGGTTGGAAGCCGAGGATGACGAAGGATCGGACGTCAAGGACCCTTTAGGTTTTCTTTAGACACGTTTATGGCCGAGTGTGGCTTTTTAAATTTGATTCTGTGTGAGCCTGTTTTGGCCGTTTTATTCGGGACTGGCCGTTGGTGGCTTCAAATCATACCGGTGTACGGCTGTGTACGAACTATGTTTTAATGAAATATTTTTAAGTAGGGTTGCGGTTATTTTGTTAAGTGTAGAGGGAAGAGTTCTCCAGCGAGAAGCTTAGCTGCCAACCTTGCTTCGAGGACTTTATAGTTGACTGTCGAGTGGCCGTGGGTTTGGTGGATGTCGCAGAAAGTATTCTCGTCGTAATTTGAATTCCTGGTCCACGTGTTACCCGAAGTCCGTCCTTGACTGGATCCGGAGTTGATGGCGTAGTTGTGCGCACCCTAAAGATTAGAGTAGACGATAATCTCCAATCTTGCCCAAACTTGTCCAATCTTGCCCAAGACTAGTTGTCGTTACGAGGGTTCTTCTTCTTTGCATCAAAGAGTAGACGATAATGTATGGATTCATGTTTACGTCGATCTTCGGGATAGTCTGGTCACTTCGTAGCGACCAAACTTGGCTCGAGCTTGATCGTTACGTAGCGACCGAGCATGTGCATGCTCGGTCACTACGTAGCAACTGAACTTGGCTCGAGCTCAATCGCTCAATGCGTCATCTTGATGTAGATCAAGAATGTTTTTTCTTCTCCTCACTTTTTCTATTATTATCGGGTCATGTTTGATTCAGACTTTTGAATTCGGTTTATTTACCCAACTCTAATCTCCCTTGGGATTCTACAGTTATCATATTGTCCCGTTTTGATTTGATAGAAAGCATACACTCTTCTGCTGTTTACCAGAAATTAGGTTGATATTGCTACTTTTTTTTGTTAGAGATCCGCCTTGATGGCTTATGTATCTTGATCCATGTTGTATTCATGGGAAAATCTTGACAATTTATCTAATAGGTGCAATATTAATAATAAAACATAAAAAGACAAAGAAGAAGGAATCAAACCTGGTTTGATTGTGTGTACACCATAAATTTTTTACTTGATCCAACAGAAGCACAATGTTTTCGGTAATGGAACTTAAACAATGTATTATTGTTATGGGTGCATAGGCTTGCATAGTTATAGCCCGACTTCAGCCCTGGTCGCATCAGGGTGTCTCCAATGGGTATCTAAATCAACCGAGAAGAAGAAGACAAAGGTGATGAATCTACCTGGGTCCATCTAAGTCTGTTACAATTAATGGGTGGTTATTCATGGGAGACTATGCTTCATACGTTTACCTTTTTTATTCAATCCTTTTACCCGAGAACACATAAACTTGCCTAACACCAAAGAGAATTTTATATCTCAGTCCTTTGAGACATAAGTACGATGTCAGATACTTATGTCTCAATGTTATTAATTATACATCGTGTTATCATCAATACACGACCAGAAAACATTCCCTTCGAGATTTGAGACATTCATATCATTAAACGCACTTCTGAAATACACTCGATAAAACCTTATTTCTAGTATCGCAAACGTAACCTATTACAAGACCATGCAAACTGGCCCAAAGATAAGACTTTGATGAGTCTCTCCACGTCACTTTTTATTTTCGGCTTTTGTCCCCTAAACTTTGGACAACGTTCTACTCGCACCCCGACACTTCCCGGGACCTCTGTCTCCCCCTCCCTCGCTTTCACCTCTCCTTGCCCATTTCTATATTTGAAAATTTTCTTGTTTATGAAAATGACTATTTTTTATTTTTATTTTTAACATTCTTTTCTTTCATTTATAACTCTTGGTCTTCTCTATTCGCAAATGCTCTGGAAATTTCATATTAAAACGCAATACACCTATTTTATGTGTTTCATGTATAGTATTTGTCTTTTTTTTTTGTCTTCCAAATCAACCAATTCCATGGGATATGCGTCAACAGGCATCGTTCTTTTTCTTGGGAAAAAATACATGGTTCTTTTTAATGATTCTTCAAAAATAAGTAGACGTAATCATGAGTAGTGCTTTGATATTCTTTTTAGATAAATACGATGCTACAATTGAATAAATAACTAAAAGAAATTTGTTAAAGTTCAATAAAAAAGAGAGGAAATGAATGAAGACAACAGCACATAATAAGAGGCTATGGGCTCACAAACTCTTATGTATCTTTCCTTTTCTTTTTTTCTTTCCTTATCTTTCAAATTATTAATATATACAGTATTGTTTATTACCAAACTAACAATATAAATATAATATTGCTTTTATAAAAAAGAATATTGTTGCTTCTATATGTGTGCATGTCCCTTGTATATATACACACTAAACATATGTTCTCCATTCAAACATTTGTTTCTCAAAACAACCTTTGGACACTTTCAAGAACATATATATATATATATATCCCCCCCCCCCCAAAAAAAAAAACTATTTAAAAATTATCGGTCATGGAAGAAAATAAACCGGAAACTTCAATGCCACTAGTTCCCATAGAGAGCTTCTCTTACAGTTGGTTAGTTAACTTTCCTCCATTAGAAGTTTCCATTGATGATTATCATCAAACCTACGAAGATTCTTGTTCTTCCTCCTTCATAGAGATGGATCCAAGATTGCCTCCTTCTAAAAGATTCTTCATCAACAAAGCCCATGAAAGTAGCTTCAAGTTCGATAACATTGTCTCTTTTTCCGACGAAGATCACTCCTTAGTTCACGCGGACGAGCTTATCCGCGACGGCTACGTCGTGCCTTACGTATCAATAGCCACGTTAGCAGCTACCGAGGAAGAATATGAGCCGTTGGATACGAAAACAGAGAAGAAGGTGGAGACACGTGACATTAAGAGCAAGTCATGGAGACTATCGAAATGGGTTATGTTGAAGTATCTTGATTTCTTGACGCCATTGTGTAAAAGATTAAGGAGATGTAGATCCTCTAGATCACCAGGAGGTATTGGAAGTGACAAGAGGATCCGCATAACGACGTTGTCTAGAAGCAGAGTTTATTCTGATGAAACGACGTCTTCGCCAAGAATTGCAGATGATTATTATTGGAGAAGGTCTTGTGATTCAGAGAACTCCATTTACGAAGCCGTTCTTCATTGCAAGAAATCTTTCGGTGTGTTATAGATATCAATTCTTTTGTTTAATTTTGTAATGATTTTTTTAATATTGTTTGCTAATTTTAACAGAGAGATGAAAGTGAAGAACCATCACCAAAGCTAGGCACAAAAAAGTGAAGAATCAAGCCATGGAAAAGGGTAGGAATAGAAATGGAGAATGATAAGCTTGAACTATAAGCCCTTGACTATAAGTGAGAGTTGATGTGGATCAAGAATGTTGTTTCTTCTCCTTTTTCTTTTTACATGACTTAGGCACATATATAGGTTAAATAGGTATCCAGCAGAATCAAGAAAATATTTTCAAATTTTCATCGCTAATTTTCTCCATATATGTAAGATAAATAGTTTATTTTTATATATTTAATCATGTATGTGCTATCCATGTTTTACTTTCTAGACAATTGTGTTTGAATATTCTTACTTTTTGTGCAAAACTTGTCTTTTCTTGTGTTAGAGATAGCATACGGGGATGTCATCATATATTTGCATGATTGAACTCTTTTTATTATCATAATCTATACTAATAAAATGAGCATTTTGTGACCTAGGAGCATTGACATCAGCATAAAAACTCATTTCTGAAAAATACTTTACTTTATTATGTTTAGTTTTACATTCTTGAAATATTGATATAATGTATAGTTTTACATTTTAATATTACTAATAAATATAATTTCGAAAATAATAACTTCTATTTTATAACACTGGTACGATGGAATATTCGAACTAATACAAAATGATGAATATAAGATAAAAGAGAAGATGTCATTAGACATCAAACAAAAGTTAGAAGAACCCCACCCATCTCTTTATTGCTGAGTCTCCAAAGTGAGTAAGTGGTGTAGCCATGCGGGGGCATTCTGAGCGATATATGACTGGTGACGGTGATCTCGTGACACTGATAGCAATAGCGTTAGCAGCTTTATTGCGTTCTAGAAGTGCGTGATCTAAACTCAATGAATCTATTCGGGCGAGAAGAAAGGAGATATCGTGACGAATATGGCTGAGACTGAGGTGGACATCTAATTTTGTGAGTGTGTCATGGAGGCTCTCTGAGGAAGTCTCAAAGATAATATTCGAAAAATGCAGATTGTGGACACATTCCACCGCCCAAAAAAGAGACCGCAAGTTAGCCTCTGTTTTTGTGCGCATATAAGAATAAGCACGACGGCTATGCATGATTATACATCCATTTTCATCTTGAGAATCCATGAAGCACCACTAAGACGATTAGAGTTGAACCATGAGGAACCAACATTACATTTGAGGAAACCATTGGGTGGTTTTTTCCATCGAATCATTGCAGTAGGAACCTCATTAACACTATCCTTTGTTCTTGTAAATGTATCAAACCATGTGGATTCTTCTTCATAGGCTTTCTTAGCAATAAATGAAGCCTCGATATCCTTGGTTTCAAAAGCAAAGGCATTCTTAGCTTTCCAAATTTCCCATAACAACCATGGAAAACATTTCTTGTATGTATATACGTGGCTGAGTTCTTGGCAATTTTGATGAGGTGCACAAATTTTAAAAATGTTGAATTCCGAGAGAAACCACCTAAAGGTATTGGGAAGTTAGCTTGCTCCCATGTGGCACGTGCTTTCGTACATGTAAAAAGAACATGACATATACTCTCTGCCTCATTACCACATACCGAACATGTTGGGTCTATCGGAATACCCCGAGTAGTTAAACGTTGTTTGATCGCTAGAGCACCAGATAGAGCACGCCACATAAAATGTTTAATTTTTTTGTGGGGCTTTAACTTTCCATAATTCTTTCCACAATTTTTTTTCAATGGGAGAGAGGAAATGTCCTGGAGGATGATCATAGTCTACCAAAGCCTCTAACAACTTATACCCACTTCTAGTCGAATATGATCCACTTATTGTGAAACCCCATCTGATTGTATCCTCAAGTATCAGTGATGGTTTCAGAAGTAAAATCCTTTGAACATCCTATGCCGTAAAAGTTTGATGTAGTAAATTAATATCCCAATGATTCGACCCCTGCATGAGTAAGTCTGAAACTTTTAGCGTTAGATTTATGGAGCTATTCACACGGTACATTGGCGGACGAGGAATGGTATCAATAATCCAGTTTTCAGCCCAAACATTGGTAGCAACCCCATTGCCAATATGTCGATATAAACCTGTTTTTAGTAATTCTCTACCATGCATGATATTCCGCCATGCATATGACAGACGTGTCCCCATACCGCATTCCAGAAAATTCTCATTTTTGAAATATTTTCCTTTAAGAATACGTGAGACCAAAAGAATCAGGATTGTTCCAAATTCGCCAAGCTTTTTTTCCAAGCAAAGCCTGATTGGAACGACCAATGTCATGAAACCCAAGACCCCCATGTTCTTTGGGTTTACACAATTTTTCCCATGAAACCCAGGGAATCTTTCTCCACCAAAAATCAATAATCGCACTTGTGATTCGTTCACAAAGACCTTTTGGTAACCGAAAAACTGACATTGCATATATTGGGAGAGCTAAAGCCACCGATTTTATTAGAACTTCCTTGGCCCCATCGACAAAGTTTTGGAGTATCAACCCTGTAATCTGCCTTCTAATTTCTCTTTGATAAAATTTAAAAGATCTTTTTTGATCCCTGAAAACATTCAGGGAGACCGAGATATGAGCCTTCACCTCCTTCCTTGTCAATACCCAAAAACCTTTTTATAGATTGTTTTGTGTCATCGGCTACGTCTTTTCCAAAAATAATGGAAGACTTCAAAGGATTAATCATTTGCCCAGAAGCCTTCCCATAGACTTTCAGACAATTCAAAATTTCTACACTATCCTTGATAGAGGCTTCACATAACAGCAAGCTATCGTCCGCAAATAAAAAATGGTGAACAGAAGGACTGCCTTTAGCTAGTTATATACCATGTAATTTTCCATGTGCTTCAGCTATGTTTAAGACAAGTACTAAAGCTTCAGCACATAAGATGAACAAAGAAGGATAAAGGATCACCCTGACGTATTCCTCTTTCAGGTTTAATAAATCCATGAGATCGTCCGTTTAGTAAGACTGAAAAAGTGACAGTGGTAATGCATGACATAGTCCAAACAACCCATTTACGATCAAATCCCATTTTTTTCAAGTAGAACTTCAAGAAATTTCCATTCAACCCGATCATAGACTTTTGACATATCTGTCTTAATAGCCATACTTTCTTTACCAATTTTATCATTAATACGCAGGCCATGTACCAATTCATGTGCTATAATGACATTGTTTGTAATTAGCCTGTCTCCAACAAAAGCCCCTTGAATTTCCGAAATTATATTAGGCAAAATCGTTTCCATTCGATTACAAAGAATGCGAGAAATGATTTTGTATTGTACAATGCAAAGACTAATGGGACGCATATCCTTCATCTCCGTAGGATGTAAATTTTTTGATAACAAAAATAATTGTGTATGGTTCCATCCAGCAGGGAGGATTGATGTTTTAAAAAAACCTTGGACATCATCAATAATTTTCTGACCCACAATGTGCCAATATTTGTGGTAGAAACAACCAGTAATTCCATCTTTTCCAGGGGCACTACTACTTTTAATACCGAAGCCTGTTTTGTTGATTTCATCAGGTGATACCTCTCTGGTTAACACCGTGTTCTTCTCTGAGGTAACCCTAGTGTCAAAACCCTCAAACAACATTTCTAAATCTCTTGGGTTTAAGCTTGTAAACAAATCTCTGAAATATGCTGTAGCAATATGTCCTTTAGACCCTTCAGAATATTGTTCATTTCCAAAAATATCTTTAAGCATTAGGATTTTATTTCTCATTTTTTTCTCTTTAACCACATTATGAAAGTAAGTTGTATTTCTGTTCCCTTCTCGTAACCATTCCTCTCTACTTTTTTGCCTCTGAAAGATCTCTTCTTCCTTATAGGCCGTAGCCAATTCCTGTCTTAACCTCCTTAACATACTATAAATGGGGAATTGCTTTGAGCTCTCTTTGTCCAAATCAATCCGTAGCCGTTCGAAAATAATAACTAATACGTAAATACACAACATTATAAATGAACATACTACATTAAACATATGTAAGATTACTATGATATATATAATTTTGAAAATAAAAAGAAATGTAAATGTAAAACATTAGAAATGGAAATACTACATTAAATATATGTAAGATCACCATTTTATATTTTTTTAAATTAATCCTAAACTGGGAAAGATACATTAAATATTAAAAAACTATCTTAAAATGTGAAAGTATAGTTATTGAGTAAAATAAAGAATAAGAAATGGAATTACACAGAATCAGGAAAAATACATAATAAGTAAATACACAATTTAAATATGTATATAGTACATTAAAAAATAACTACACATTTAAAAATGTAAAAATATAATTTATGAAAATAATAATAATAAAGAAATACACAATTTAAAAAAATGAAAAATCTACATTAAATATTAAACATTTACGATTAAACATTTACCATAAAGCGTACATCAATGATTAAACATCTATTTTAAAGTGTAAAATATAGATATTAAGTAAATAAAGTATAAAATGTAAATACAAAGTATAAGAAAAAATCTTCCGGAATTGAGGGATATCTTAGGAATAGAGAATTTAGGGGGAATGAGATCTTATATGGGATTACCTGAGAGTCTTGCAGGATCTAGGACACAAGTGTTACACATCTATCTTAAAATAATTAAATATATAATACACCAAAGTAATGATAATAAGTAAATAAACAATGTAAAATGTGAATATGTACACTTAGCATTACACATCTATCTTAAAATGCAAAAATAGATATTAAGTAAACTAAAGTATAAGAACTGAAAATACACAGTATAATGAAAAATCAATAATAAATAAATACATAATTTACAAATGTAAATATAACATTTAAAAGTATATATTCAAATATAATAATATATAATATAGGAACATATATATAATATAGGAATAAATACACAATTTAAAAAATGAGAAATGTACATTAAACATATATTTTAAAGTGT